CACACACAGGCACACACACACAAAGAGAAACAAAATAAAAACTGACAGATGACTGATTTGTAGTAGATTTCAGTAGTATATGTTTTACAAGTTTATGGTCCCCCAAATTCACTGTAGATCCATTTCCCACATAGAAAAGTCTTGATTGTGTGGTTTTGTTTGGCCAAGTTGAAGCTAACTTATGACAATGAAATAGTAGCTCCAAAAATAGTTGATAATATTTTCATTAATTGTGCAGCCCTTCTGAATAGCTAATCAAATGTGACAGAGTGCATAATGAATATAAATAGCTTTCCAACATTCGGTGAAATGCACTGAAAGACAGAATTAGTCAAAATGCCTGAAGAATAATCAATCATCTGTAAGCTTACTGTAATAAATTAATTGTTCTAAGACAATAATTATCTGAGTAGCATTTACAAATTAAGTTAAATCAGTTACTTACTACTAGAGCAGTTATGCAACGGTCGCGTATCATTGACAGCGTTTAAATTAACTCCCACTTTACTTAGCCTGCAGGCTGAGTATTTGAATGACGAAAGCACCCTCCATTCTTGACTCCTACAAATCAAGAGGAGTTACCATCAAATGATATTTCACAAAACATTAATGAACATGCGTGCGAGAGAATATGATCATATGAAATAATTGTGCTAATAATTCCTGAAAGAGAAGATATCTGCTCTGTCTATCTTGAGCATAGAGAGTATCAACAGATTCATTTTAGGCGGTGCGTATAGTTGATTTGGCAGCTGGAAGATAGAGAGAGCGAAGTCGAGAACATTGCTGATATAGGAAATACTGTTTGGCGAACGATACTGTGACCAGGGAATCGAATTTGAAAAAGTACCATCCAAAACTGTGCTGTAACTTGGTTGAAAGCTTAAGATCTGAAGAGCCCTACCATAGACCCAAAACATCTATAGATTCCCATAAAACCAAAACAATGAGCCAAAAATGAGCCTACATATGCCTCAGGTAGAGCCGGCAAATAGGTTTACCCCTCGCTATGATTGTCACTGGATGACTGCAGTGCACTTTCACTAGTCTGGATCCTCGTTAATCAAGAATCTGAGTATGATCGATATTAGGAAGAAATTTATGGGCGGGAACTCAAATGCCACTCAAGTAACGTGACTTGACCATAGAGTCCGAAAAAACGCTCAAACCACATGACACAACACAAAGATGGACACATATCAATGCCTCGACACAATCGGAACGAATTATGTTCAGCTCTGACATTGCAGAACCACAGCGAGACACAATCTAGTGCGAATGGATTCAGCGAGCGTCCACGCAGAGTGGTTGGAGTATCAGAAAATTGTGATGGGATCAGCCGAGTTGGTTTCCTGACACGCCTGCGCTGACCCAGATGCCCGACGTGCCGCTTTCAGTGGTGGTGCCCAGCACAGATGAGTCTTGAAGGTGAGGATGAAGAGAGCTATACGTACGGGCAATAACTAGGAAAGCAGACCACAATAAATCTCTGCAAGTCAAGAGATCCAGCTTAGCAATGTAGAAACATTAAAACCACACATCTCGCACAGCGAGAAAGAGAGACACAAACACAGACCCACACACGAGGACAGTACCGCGAGAGGGACTGAGAGAGACGAACTTTGTGTATATCCACCTTATTGAGGGACTCGGAGAAATCGGAAGATGACGCGGACAGTAACATGGTGGATGAACAATGAAAGGAACAC